CCAGAGCAAAATATGTTCCCCATCTGCTTCCTGAATATGTGGAAAAAACTGAAATGTGCAACATGGGACTTGAGAGGGGCCTTTGCAGTCATATGTTTTTGTGAGTAGTAAGACAAGTCTCAACATTTTGTTTGAAATATGAACTAGGAAGTAAGAAGCTCTGTTTTTTAAGGTAGATACAGTGATACAGGCATTTAAGAAGCCTCACAGGGGAAGCTCAGGCACACAAGGAATTGAGATATCTGCAAAGCTGCATGTGCAGAATTTAAATTTCAGTTATTTAAATGTAAATCTGTAAAGTATCAGCTCAGTATCTAAGTGCTCCCGTGGATAGGAGCTCAAGCAGCTAGACCAAGGCAACAAGGGAGCTCTGGGGCACAAGGACAACTGAAAGGTGCCCTAAAGTCCCTTCCAGCTTCCACCTCATGTCACTGTGTGGTGGTATAATATTCATCCTGGCTGCTCATCCTGCTCTGAGGCTTGGTGAGATTCTGACATCCAGATTGTTGCAGGAAGCAGCAAGCTCAGCTGAGGGGGCAGCTATAGTCATTATGGGCTATAGGGTTCAAATGGCAGCAGTCTAGTTTCCAAAGATCTTTTCTTCTCCCAGGAGCTGGTGTACAGCTATTTTTTCCCCCTTTCTTTTCCACTTGCAGAAGCCACTTTCTCTTTTTGGTAGATGGCAGTGATGCTGTGTGAGCTGCTGCACTGTCAGAGCAGAGGAAGGGATCTGCTCTCAGTGTCTGTCCCCAGCTCTACCATCAGTTCATGCAGTGGTGAGTCACTTTGTGTCTCCATTTCTCTGTCCCTGTGGTGGGCAGGACAGCAGTGTGTGTCACACACATTGTTCCACAATGTTGGCAGACTGGCAGGCAAATCCTGCAGTGCCCATGGCACAGGGCAGGGCTCTGGCTGCAGAGCAGATTCTTGCTCACAGGAATTTTCCATACACACTGTTTTTCCTATTGAAACAAGGTACATCCTAAAAAAAAAAAAAAAAAAAAAAAAAAAAAAAAAAAAAAAAAAAAAAAAAAAAAAAAAATCTGTCTGTTTGACAAAAGATTTGCAAGGGACACTCACAGGGACTGGGGTGTCAGGGCAGACTGCAGTCCTGCTTTGAATTTGGAAGAAGCTCATCAGAGCCAGAGCTGGTATGATGAGCTGGTATTCCCCAGTGGAACAGAGATTATTTTTCTTGGGAGACCCACAGGCTCCTGATCACCCATTGCCTTGCTTCCCCTTCCAGTCACTTTTTAATTATGTTATTTCACATCATGAGCTACTAAAAATAACACAAGGGACCCCCCAACTTGATACAGTGGTCACTCCAGAGCATCTCCTGGGAAATTCAGGATTTCTGTGTATCCAGCTGGCTGAAGTTGTTCTCCCACCATGACGGCATCTGTGATGGGAGGAAAGACAGCTTTGGAGTACCACTACAAGCCCTGCTCTCACCCTTCCTGTGCTGCAGAATGCCAGCTGACCTCTTCCCTGTTGGGTCTTCATGCACTTCTTTCCACCCTGCCCTATTTCCAGGTTCTTCAAAAGGACTGTGTGGGAATAGCAGTGACTGACAGTCACTGACAGCATCAGGATGGAGGACTCAAAAGGAAAAGTCGTTAGTTAGTATCTAGTCACTGGAGTTACATGAATGTCCATTTTCACCTCAAAAAGCCTGCCAGAGGCAGCAGTCACACCTTTCCTGGGCCTGAGAGGTCTCACAGGTACTGGGAGCATCGGAGGACTTGCAGCTCCAACACCTAAATTTGTGAGACTTGGCAAAACATAAATATTCGGCTTAACATAACTGTGACACTCAAGTCCAGCACTACTGATTTAAGAGCTGAACATTGACCAGCCAGCAGCCCTCAGCCTCCTCCTGGCTCCAGCAGCATGGCACCCTCTCCCTCTGGATGCACCTTCAGGATGAATTCTTCACTCTAAAGCTCCCCTGCTATATACTTCCAAAGCAGTGTAGGCATGGTTAATATTTATAAATAACCAGGATTTCTACCCTGCTTCAGCATTCATTATAGTTGCAGTGATTCAAACCTCCGGCATAGGACAGGAACTGCCTTGAGCTGAAATTGAGAAACTATCTAATAAAATATAGTCATGAGATGAATAGGAGTTATACAGTTGAAGTGCCTTGAGCATGCTTGAAAGATTTATTTCCTGGCTTCCTCTGGAGGGCTTTTTAGCAGGGAGGACTGGACTCTGTGTGTGTGTATATATCCATATAAGAGAGAAAAATATTTTAAAGTTTTAAGGACAGAGGGAAAGGGACATCTACACTTCTTGAGGAGGTGCTAAAGAGAGCATTCTTTATTTTCTGTGAACCTGCTATATTTACAGCTGCTGAATTTCCTGTAACAAAACAGATGTGAGTGCATCACTCACAGTCTTACAGGCAAGTTTGCCACACACTTGTGGTACATGCTGGGAGACTCTCAAAGCTGTGGTGCCTGAAGACTGCACTGGTATGTGGAATGTGGGTAGAGATTGTGTTTGAGCTCAGATGAGGAAGAGGCTGCCCGAGAGGATTCTGTAGCCAGACTAAGATTAAGGAGAAATAAACAACAATTAATAAAATATATTATGTAACTTCGGCCTGAAAAAGGAGAGCTCAGTAATCATTTCATATTCTCATATCCCTTTGATCTGTACACCTGTCTTACCACACATCTCTTCTGTCTCACATGCAACTCCTCTGTTACTCCTAGGATTGTTGCTCCAAAGGCTGGAAGTAGGGGGAATATAAAGCAAGGAAATTCCTAGGACTCTTCTCCTCAACTGTTCTAGGCTGCATCTATAAAGCAGTGACAATTAAAAACCAGGAAGTGTCCCATTGCTGCCAGCCAGAAGAGAGAGCCATTCCAAAGGGCTCTCTCTAGAACATGGCTCTGAATCTGGCTTAGGGGAGGGATACAGCCTGTCTGACCTCCTTAATCCTCTCTTATCAGCTGTTACTACCTTAAATGTAAGAAATTACACAATATAGCACCTCAGAAGTTTCTATCCACACTCTCCAAATAACGCTGTAAAGATGTTCCTTTGTCACCCCACAGGATTTTAGGTTCTCTCATAATTTTCTTCCTTTTCTCAAGCCTGCAATGTGCATCTCAAGTAATGCTTCTCCCTTGTTTACCTGACTTTGAAACACCTTGCTCACAGACCCTGATGACATTAAGAGCATTGTTCTTGATGCACATCACTTCAGAATTGGCTAAGCTGAGGACTGAATCTACCTCTGTTAAAAACAGCTTATCTTATCCTAAGTGACCTGAACAAAGTACAAATTATTCTCTCTCTTTCTGTCTCCCTCTCTCTAGGAAAGATAGAACTCAGTTTCCTCCAGCTCTGTAATTTCTGGACAGACACAGGAGTGAGTCCATGCCTAAATTTAACCCTGCATTCAGACCCACCCCTACTATGCTATGGTAACAGGAGTGTATATAGAGAGAGCTGGTGAGCCACCCTCCACTTGAATTGCACCTTTTGTCATCTCCTTGGCATGTGAAATACTGTCTTGTATTCATGTGCTGCTCATGTGGGAGTAACCTGGGGCAGTCTGAGTGTAGGAAAATCTGTACATGTAGGAAAAGAAGTGGAATTGCCTTGAGCAAGACAACCTTATTTGACCCTCCTCCTTCCTTTACAGTTGGTGTTTCAGCTGGGACAGAGAAGAATGAGGGGACTGAGGCTAAGGCCAGATGTTGGCATCAGGCACACAGGAGTTGAACAGGTTTTCTCCATGCCTTCCTGCCAGTGCACATTAATCCTGAGCCACAGTGTCCTCTGTCATTCCAGCTCTTTATCCTTTCCCTTAATCCTTCTATTTATACCTTCTGAGCTAGAGTCTCCTTTCTTATGTGCCAGTTTTACACCAGTATAAATTCATGGATGTCTGTAGGTTTGTAACTGGCTTACTCTCCCCCATTAAAAAAAAGAGAATTAGACTCATCACTTCTAGGTACCTAATGGTGTATCCTCTATCCCTTGGTTTTGTAAATACTCCTTGTATTCCTATTTTTCATCAGTCTGTTCCAACACACATCAGCCTGCTGTTATTTTGGTGCTAGATTCCCAAAAAGCACCCCATGATGCTGCTGCTGAAGCTGTGTCAGAGACAGTAGATACCTGCAGCTTCCTCCATGTTGAGTCAGTCTGGGATAGACTCTCCCAGGGTGGTGTTCCTTGGCACCAGCATCAGCCAGGAGATGTCTATCCGTAGCCTTTTATTTTTCTCAGCTTCACCCCTCCGCATTCAGCCTGGCTAGTGTAAACTGTCCTTAGGATTGTTTAGTGTTCCTCATGGTTCCATTGAGGAGAGCCAGTTAAAGATTTGGACCTTCCTGTTATCCATTCTGGCCAAATGGAGGAAAAGGCCAGGACTTGTCTTGCCTAGAACTGAAATCTAAAGGCAGAATGGTATGTTCTTAATAAAGGAGTGATTATATAAATCACAGTAGCAAAATGTTCTTGCAGAGCACATGCCCCACTCCGTGACTGAAGTGTCTGAGAGTGGCTGTCCATCATTCCAGAGGAGGGACTGGCCTTGGACAGGGGTTAGTTAGTGTGCAGCCCGCTGTGTTACAGAGGAGCAGCTACAATTCCAGAGTCTCTTCTAATGAAGTTCCTTGTGGCTGTTTATTGGACAAAAATAAATTCCAACTGGCCCATATAACAAATGAAACTCAACTACAAAAATGTAATGATATTTATTCACCCAGCTGCCAGCAAACTCACATGCACTATGAGTCATTCCAGATGTGGATAAAAACAAAGTCTGTCTGTGAAAGTAAGTTTCCTGATCCCGAGGAGACTTGGTTTGGGAGAGGAGCTGTGCGCTGACTTCAGCTCTACTCAGAAGAACAGGCAGGTTCTTCTGCAAAGGGGGAGGGGGAGAGGAAAGGCCATTATTTATTCCTGAAAAGAAAGGAGCTGGGAAAATAAAAAAAGCTACTGTACAGCTAGACACACGTATTTTAAAGAGAAGGATGCTTTGGAAGACTCTGATGCTGCTGCTGTTCTATTACAGTGCTTATGCCACTGTGCCCCACAGATGGAGCAGAGGTAAGATTTCAACCTGAAAAACTATTTAAGATAAAAATTTGAGTTGTAGATTTGGTCTCAAATTTTGTTGCATTATACATGTCTGTAGATAGATATATACAATTATAATTTTTTTCCCTCCCAACTCTGGAATTTTTTTTCTGTTAAACAGGTCAGCTAAAATATAGAGATCAATTAAAAAATACACACGAATAAGTGCAAAAAGGTAAAATTATATATGTATTCTATTATAACAAAAATATCTAAATATCCCAAGAACCAGAATTACTTTCTTGTATTTTTTCCCTTATTCTTTCTATTTTTTCTCCTGCATTAACAAAAAAAAATATAGCTTATTAAACTTTAAAGTGAAAGCCTGTGCAGTCACAGGTGGCATAATCTGCTCTAGCAGGAAGATACCTGGGAATAGTAAAACAAAGAATGCCTAGATTGTGCAAGGTGCCTGGGAATGATGCTACCCTACCCTGGCAGAGGAGCACAGGTAACACAGAGAAAGTGACCTTGTGTGTTATCAGGCTGCAGCTGCCAATGTGACAATACACAGTCATGACATATTTGGCATTTTTTTAAGTGTGACAGCAGCATATGGAACATTTGGGGATTCTTGGATTGCATAGGAGATGCTTGCTTCAAAGCTAGTGATGATGTCCATTCCCTTTTTTGGTTTTATTCTCTCCTCTGGTATTTGCCGCTGGTTCAGGAGCTGCTGGAAGTGGAGAAAGGAAACACTTCCCAAATTATTTCTTTGGTTCTGATATTCACAGACATTTAAAGGAACCAGAGTCTGCTAAAAAAATACAGCATTTAAATGCCTCCCTCCCTACTCTGGTCTTCTTCATAGCTGGTACCATTCCAGTCTGCCATTTGGGTTTGGTTTTGATTTTGTAGCAGAGGGAATGGTTGAGGGAATTAATGAAGAGCTACACAATCCAGCTCAGGCTGCTTTAATTTTTCTCTACAATGCTTAATTATTCCTTTCAAAAATCCCTGTTAGTGGGAGCTCAGTGGCAGGGCATTGACCTGGGACTCACCATGGCAGATTCTTTCCACAACTTTTTCATTAGACTCTTGGTGATATTGCATGAGTCATTGTACCTGGATGTACCTTACTTTTCTCTTCTGGTATAAGACTGGAAATAGCACCAATATTTGTCATAAGAGCCTGTAATTATGTAGGTAAGAATTTGTTGTTCCAGGGGTGACACAAAAATGTGAGAAAATCAGAACTAGATCTGTATATATTAATTTAAAAAAAAAAAAAAAAAAAAACCACAGCCCCACCCTTTAGAAGAATGATGTCACATTGCCTAAGAAATGGGAAAAAAATCTAGAAAAAGGAGTTCAATTTCATGTAATAATCACTATTCAATTTAAAGATGTCCTTCACTTTTGCTAACACACTTATTTTAAACAACATCACAACCCTAAAAGAAATTCATGCAGCTATTAAAGTTCAATTTTAATCACCATGAATATTTAAAGTGAATATCAGAACTCTACTGTGCCTATTGGGAAAGCAGGTTTTCTTTTTTTCCAATCTGGAAGCTCTAGTGCTTAGTTTTGGAGACTTCAGAGGGAAGAGATTAATTCCCTGTTGTGATAAGGAGTTCAGTTGCCACAAATAGGGTGTGCTGGCATTTTCTGAGGAGGAAACCAGATTTCTTTTCCACATATACTAGGACTAGTCTGCTCTAAAGATGTTTTAGGCACGGGTCCTTCAGCAATAACTACTTCAGTGAACCTTCACTCCCTTGAACTGTGTGTCAACCCAACCAAATTTGCAGTTCCTTGAGATGGTCCAAGCACTGTCTTAATTTTTGAATTGCTTAGAAATCTAAGCTAAAATTTGAGTACTGAGAAATGACACATTCTTCTGCACACTCAGAGCTCTTCTCTCCCTCCATAAATGACAACTGAGTCTTGTTTACGTTAAACTTCAGTCATTTAAGTCTTATCCGAGTCCTGATTTGAGTTTTGCAGTGAAAAAGGAAAGACAGATCAGCATGTGGTCTGACAGAAATGAAGGGCAGATCTGTGCATTGTCTCAATGCTGACTTGTCATCCAGATTGTTTACAAAACAGTAGGGCAAAGGTCTTGCTTTAATTGCCAGCAGTTGTTGTTTGCAGTAGAACTGAGCAGTCAGTGTTGTATACAACCATGTCTGGCTTTGACCATTTTTCCATGGGAAGCACTGAGCAGCCTGGGATCCCCAGCCCTTGTAACCAATCATCCAAGCTTTGGCTCCAGAAAAACTTGCACTTGAGAGAAGATGAGCACACTCGTGCTGACTGGTGACTGTGAGCTCCTGACTCCCTTTTCCTTTTGCTTGGAAGCATCAGTGAGTGTGGGGAAAAAAAAAAGAAAGCTTTTCTGTCATTTCAGAGCATTTCAGAGGGCTTTTTATCATTCCTTTTTCTTTTTAACCTGCCTCAGCCCTTTGCATTAAAAATCTCACACACACTCCTCAGCCTGCATTGATTGAGCTGTGGACACAGGTCCAGAAGTCACAGGCAAAACTTAGTCCTTAGGATGGGTGTGTTTAAAATAACAAATAAAAGATAATGAGTGATAATGAAATAATTTTCTTGTCATCACCTCAAATTTCCTTGAGCCTTTTGTAGGCTTAGCTGCATGGAAGTATTCTCTCAGATTTTGTGAACCTCCTGTCTAGGGAAAGGTGATTAAGTAAAAATTGTGAAAAAAGGTAATTAAGTCTTTACTGACTAAGTATTTTTCCCTATGCAATGACAGAGCTGAGGTCATATAAATTCATCAAGTTACAAATAAGAATTCCAGCTCTTAAGAGATGTTTCTTCTGAAGAAACCAAGGAACAAATCCTGGGTTTTGACAACAAAAATAAGGAAAAAACCCCCCAAAAAATTTTAAAAAAAAAAACCTTCCATGCAGCTATGGCAATGAGTGTCACTGCTTGCTGGTTGCTTCCAGTAAATTTTGAGAAGTACCAATCCACTGGAGAGCAGAAGCCAGCCTTATGAGCATTACAAGAGTTGTCTGTTCCCTGAGGAAAAGCCCTAAGACAATCCTTACTAGGACATCTCAGCTGGCTGGAGTTTATTTGCTGTAAGGACTGCCTGATTCTAATAAATGGGACACAGAAACAGTAGCATTCTTGCTGTGTGTTTACACAGAGAGGGAAGATGCAGGCTTCTTATGCTTGTGGCTTTTGGACAGTGCAGGATCAGCTGCAAGGGTAGAGACATGAAACCAGCCCAAATCTTCACCACAGGCTGTGGTGTTCCCATGCTTACCTTTCCCCTCCCTGAGGTGCTCCAGGCTGCAGCAATAACCTGTCTGCACTCCTCTCCCTGTCACAGTGCTTGTCACAGCACAGGCTCAGCGCTGGGCTGGAGCTGAGGCTGTGAGGAGCAGAGAAGCAAAGTTTAAAAAGCTCCACTACTCCCAGTTTCCACAAACATTCCTTTCCTCTGGTGAGAGCATAGATGAGGCCTTTCCTGGCCCAGTTTGCTGGTTAGGTTTGGCAGCCCCCAGTTCTCCTGAGAGCAGCCTGCATACCACTCCTCCTCTGGAAATTCCTCCCTGGCCACAGGGAAGGAGGTCACCAGCCAGGAGCCAGGCTCCAAACCACTGAGCCTCCCTCTGCTCAGGAGGAGCCAGGTGGGTAGCTGAAAAAAGATGCTGAGAAAGGGAAAAATAAGTTGTTGAGTGCTCAGAGGTTATTTGGGACAAAATGGGACAGTGGAAGGACAAGGCTGTGCTCCAGTTTCACATTGGTGACCAAAACTCACAGGGTCTTCTGTGATGCCTGCCTGGCCCCCTTGTCCCCAGGCAGGGTACAGGGGAAGCAGAACACTTCAGATAGCTCCTGCCTAATTGTAAAGAGAGTAAACTGCACTGGACTGGATGTGAATATCTGCTGCAAGCCAGAACATCAGGATTTAGTCATCTCCATCCATTTGGCAGGTGGTGGTACACCACAAAATGACCTTGATGCTTCTGATCTCTTCTCTGTCTTGGGAAGAGTAGAGACTTTCCAATCTGGCAGGGATCATTTCAGCCATGAAGAGGGGGACAGACAAAGGACAGATATGCTGAGAAAGAAAAAGGTGGAGGTAAAAATGAAATGGTGTAAAGGAGAAGATAAATGAATATAAAGGAAAGGTGGAAAGAGAGAGAAAATGTATAAATATGGATGAGAAATATTAAAGTGCACCATATCAAGATTAGAGTAGCATTGTCTCCCTTGTCAGCATGGTATGCATCCTCGTTTGAACTCACACTTCAGCAGATGCCCATCTGTCACAGCTGGTCTCCATCTTACTCATCTGCCTCTCAGGCTCTTGGAATGGTTGCTTTTCTTTGGAGCTGGCTCTGCCTTTTTCTTGTGTAAGCAGGACTCAATTTTACTTCTAGTCCCCAACAGCCTCTCATCCTACCAGGATATTGAGGTTCCAGTCTGGGCAAGGTCAATTGTCACAGTCACAGTATAAAAATTGAAGTTACTGAGACTGAATCATTAGTGTGTCAGGATTTCCTCACTTTTTTTAACCCCTCCCTTTGATCTTCTACACTATGTAGGTATGCAAAAAGACTCTTGCCTCTGCCCAAGAAGCAGCCTGTTTTATTCCACAGAAGCTGCAGGAATCTTGCAGTTTTACAGGACTATGGAGCAACAGCATTTCCCATTAACATCAGTCATAAAAACAGCACCATAATTGTACAAGTCCCTGTAGCTCCCTATCATTCTCTGGAGGAATGGATCAAATTTTGAAAGCCTTCAGTTTCCTCCCTGGTTTTCATAATGCTCACAGACATTACATTGCTTTTTTTGTTTTTGCTTGGCTCTGAAGAAACACAAAGTGTTTATTGAATTTATTTATTAAGCACAGATTTTATATCTCAGATAACTGTTCCTGTTTTAAGCCCTCTCTTAAAATAAAATACATTTAAAACATGCTTCATTTTTTATTTATGTAATTATTCATAGCTTGGCACTGAACAAACTCCATTTCCAGTTGT